TATAAACAATTATTATATACATCAATCAATACATAAAGTTAATGTATTCATTCAACCGTCATACTCCATGATGTTCTTTATGTTTTTGTTATTGCATTGCATGATTGAATATGATTTGTAAGCCATGCATTGCTTTGAAGTTCGGTTTTAGAAAGAGAAAATGACATTCATGTGTTCTTCAAGAAAAGTCATGTTTTGATCCGAAGGCTCATGCCTAGATCCATGTTTTTGTGTTTGTTCTTGCATGACCTTCTTGTATGGGTACCCAGGTCCATGTTTTCGAACTCATGGCATGAAATCTCAGATTTTTGTAACAAGTTACGATCTTGCATTCATCTTTCTCATGATCATGTTCGTCATGTTCTTCAAAGGGAAACCTAGGTTTTCCCGACCTTGCTTTTGAATGAGGCCATCGGGACCACACCTCGGCCAGGAGGTGTGGGACATCGGCGAAGACCTGGTTGGTACCCAGCATGTCTTCCTGATATGTAAAACAGTGTTTTGGCTTCCAGCATATTTTTCCCGAGATCATTGCATGGATGTGAGACTTGTTTTGAGAAGTATGTTCAGTATGCTTTGCCATGTGTTGTAGGACTTGGACCTTTTCCTTGACCCTGACGTCCCAAGAATCAAAGTGAGTGGTATTTTTAATAAAGTTATGTTCTTAAGGTTTTGATAAAGCTTCGCCTTGTTTTGATAAAAGTATTTGTTAAGCATGAATGATGTCCCTATTTTATGTATCAAGTATAAGCTTTGTTTTGAATGGCAAGTTATCAAGTGAGCTTTGTTTTGATGGCCTTCTCGGATAGTCCCTTGTGCTGGAGGACTCTAAACTTTCGCAGTACTAAGAATAAAAGGATACGGTCCTTTCTTGGATAGCCTATCGTGTCAAAGCGGGCTATGGGCCTAAGTAACACGAGCTCCATGATGTTAAAGCGGGTTACGGGCCTAAGTAACACGAGCTCCATGATGTTAAAGCGGGCTACGGGCCTAAGTAACACAAGTCCCTCGTGCTGGAAGGTTATGCCGAGGTTATGTTATAAGATTTGGCACATGTTAAGTATGTAAGTTTTGCAAGATCAAGTTTGATGAACAAGATTTGTCTCATGTTTTGTACAAGCTATGATAAGTATGGTTTTGACAAGATATATTATGTATTGTTTTGAAAGACCTCGAGAATCATTCATTTAACACCTTTATTACTTGTACCATTCACTGAGTATCCAAGCTCACCCTCCCTATGTATATATGTAGGTAACAAGTAAGAAGTCGGCTACGCCGAGATGTGTGTTTTGTTTGCATGTATGTCAGCTGTAAGGATGTCGGCAATCCTAAAGACTAAGTTCCATGTTTTGTAGCTCAAGTGTTTTGTTTATGTCGGCAATCTTGAAGCTTATGTGTTATATTTATGTCGGCTTGAGAAGCCTTTTGCCAAGATGTAATATGTACCTTTTGTATTCAAGTTTTAAAGCTATGTAAAGATGTATGCCATTTCATTTGACTTATGCACAGCTCTTATGGACCACTTGTATTTTGAGTTATTGCTTCCGCATATGTGAGCCCCCTAAATATATACTCTGATTGTGTGTGAACTTTGGAAGTTGGCCTTCGGTAATTACGGATTACTGGCCATCATGGCACCAAACTACTAGGGGCGGTTTGGGGTCGTGACACTTCTCCCTTAAAACTCTCTTTATAAGATTTATTTTATATAAGTGAAACAGCTCGCATTTTCTTTCTTTTCCTGTTGTAGGATTGTAACATTTTATATAAGTGAAACAACTCACTTTTTCTTTCTTTCCCCGATATAGGATTGTAACACTTTATATAAGTGAAACAACTCACTTTTTCTTTCTTTTCTCGATGTGGGATTGTAATTATCTTAAAGTTAATATTATGAGAGTTTCAAAATCTCACACAAAATTATTTTTAAAATCAAAACTATGTGAGATTGTAAAATAAAAGTTAAATGAAAGCTAGCCAATAGGGATTTTCTTAATTGTTTAAAATTAAGAAAATCAAAAAATCGAGTATGAGATGTTGATCATAGGGTTTCTTACTAAAAATCTCCTTTTACTTATATAAATAGAAGCATAAGATTCACTTTATGTAAGTGAAACAATTCACTTTTTCTTTCTTTTTCCTATTTGGAATTATAAAATAAAAGGTAAAAGAAAGTTAGCCAATGAGAATTTTCTTAATTATTTAAAATTAAAAAAATTTAACAATTTTAGAATAAGGGTTTGGAGCTCTTAGAAGACTTCTCCCTAAAAAACCCCCCACATAGTTTTTAGATAGTAAACAAACTTTGCTTTTTCTTCTTCTCCCAATGTGGGATTATAAAATAAATCATAAACTAATTTGTAACGCCTCAATTTTCATGCCCAAATGGGAATACAATAATCATGGCCATCTAAAATAAAACTGATAATAAGTCCTCATACTTGCATTACATTATATAAATAGCCTTCATGCGATAATACAGTTAATCCTACAACAATTAATTAAACAATAAATACCCCTAAGGGATTACAAGTTTCCAAGGCTTGAGCTTGGTTAGACAAAATGGTTATTCAAACCCACACATACAAAGCCCTTGGCTTACACACAGAGTCACAGCAAAATGAGAGTCTCGTACTCTCAATACACATTTCCTCGCCTTTAGTTAGGCGGCATCACCATATCTTTTCGTGCACAAAAATCCCGTAGGGTGAGCATAAAGCACAGTAAGAAATCCTTAACAAAGTATATACATTTTATACAAGTCTCAAGAGATGAAATGCACATGCCATGCTATGCCCTTTTTGAACGTAAAACACACCTTCATTTATTCAAAAACCATCATGCTCAATGATGTCATGCAATTTCAATTGTTCAAAACTTAACAATTTATTTCAAGAGCGGTAAATACGTCTCTGGTAATCCCTAGGCTGGTGTCTGCAAGTAGACTATACGATTACTATCAAATTGTCCTTTTTACCGGTATTAACCGGAAGGCTCGACACCTATCCGCGCTAATTTTTCGGTCTTTCACCCCGGACCTGCAGACCAACTTATTCTACACCACCTATCAAGACTTACCAACATATTTACCCCAAAACCATTTCATGAAAACTTATTTCTCAACATTCTTTTCTCAATGCAAGTTTTCAAATCAACCTTCAAAGTCTAATGTAATAAAATGAAATGATATGCCAATTTCACAAGATGAACATAAATACTTTTATTCCAATTCATCATCCAAGGAATAGCACAATTTCTTCTTCTCAAGTATTCTCAACAGCTTAGTCATTTCAAGACTATATCAACATTCTAAATAACCATTTCTAAAATGAACAACAATTCTCATAATCCACAAAATTAATCATTTATACAAATATAAATAAGAAAATTTCTAAACATTATTTATTCTGGCACACAAAATTAAATATAACAATATTACCCATGGATATTCAATCTCTTTTAAAATTCTCAATTTCTAGGTTTTCTCACAAAAAACCATTCATCTTCAAATATTTGAGAAGATCTCACTAAAAACATCTTTCTTTCATCAACATAGCTCAAAAATATAAATTTCTATTTTTAGAAAGAAAAATGAAGTAAACCCACTTTCAAAATCATTCACCTTCTTGAATCAATAATCCATTTTTTAAAACAAATCAAATGATGATTTCTAAAATCATTTAGATCTTACAAAAATATATATATAACTTAAAAAAAATCCTTACGTCAAGTTTGACGAGGAAACACACAAAAAAATTCAAATTTTTGATTTTACTAGATTTTATTCTTCACCGATCAAAATGTTACTCTCACCAAACTCCTCTCTCAATGATAATGTTAGTGCCATGCCCTCGTGAGTTTCAGAATCGTCGTATCCACCTGGAACAGTGATACCAGCCGCAAAGGTTACAGTGATAATAATTGTTGCCACCAACAGGAGAGTGTTAATCCTATCCTTGAAGGCCTCGACATTTAAATTTTTTTTTTTTGTTTTGATGGTCTTTGGCTGCCCTAGTGGAGCACTAGCATGCCTCAAGGCCATCCATGTTAGTTGCCTTCTTCCTTGTCAAAATAGCAACGTGCAGGAGTGGTTGGCCATCCATGAGCATATTTTGAGCGTTAACATTCGAAGCACCGAATTGTATTATATGCTCAAAGAGCTCCTGATGCCCTGCTTTGGCGGCCAAAAACAAGGGTGACTTTTTGTCCAGATTCGGAAAACATGAAATTAATACACTTTCAGCCCGCGTAAACAACAACCTAGCCACCTCAGGTTGATGAGCCTTTACGGCCATATGCAACGTTCTCTTGGACTACTTCGGCACCAAAAAAAGAAACTCCACCAGATCACCAACGGCACCGCTTCCGGCTCCTCTGGATTCGTCAATATCACGGATCTCAAAGGCGGTAAGGTCGGCTTCGAAGCCCAGGATAACGGCGGCAACGTCGACGCCGTCTTCATCAAGTCGTCGGGTGAGGTTCCGTATAACATGTCCGTCATTCAGATCAGCAAGATCTTGCCGTCGGTTCAAGCCGAAGCTCCGACTCCTGGTCTGAGTCAGATGAATCCGACGGCTTTGATGTCGGCTCACGGCTGTAAAGTGTTCACCGAGATTCTGCAGACCTCCGACGCCGAGAAAACGTTCAAGGACAATCTCGACGACGGATTGATAGTGTTTTGTCCCGGCGACGATGCTTTCAAGAACTATTTGCCCAAGTAGAAGATCTTGGCCAGTGGCTATGTACACTGCAGAAACAACGTTGCTGGCATGGGCATTGAAGCCACCAAGAGCACCGGCCATGGCTGAACCAGTATGGTTCTTGAGCATGTTAAGCTCACCAAGAGCTGCCACGTTGGTCTTCAACACCTTCTTCACTACCTCTTCTTTGATGATTGCCTCACAAACACTTATTTTTACAACCCATCATCCACTACCATATCTGAGAGGGGAGATTTGCGCGTTAGTACGGCCGAGCTACGATAACGGCGATCATGACGAACCGCACGCCGCCGAGCAGACTCCTATCTTGCTCGGCCAGCAGCCTAACCTGTACGGCTGAAGAGGTCGACCGGCTAGACACAAACCAATGCCTGGCCGAGCTGTAACAATGCCGAGCGCGCAGCAGTGTCTGACGACAAAGCTAAGAGCGGCCCGGACCGGACTTGAGATGCGATTAGCGTCGGCATGCGCTTAACCGATCAGCCGAGATAGACGGGCTTAATGAAGAACGGTGGAAGTCCAGCGTGCTTCATGGCCATTCAGTCGGTTGAGACCGATCATAAACAGCCCGGCCATGAGCATAGCATTTTGGCCCCTTTGCCAAGGGGCAGGTCGGCGTTCATTAGCTCGGTTATGTGTTCGAGGAGACAATTCTCCACAGGGAACCAGCTGGTCGTGGTACTCCAGTTAAGTGTGCCACCTGGGCCAATGGTGTGAGGGGGAGGACATCTGCTCCACCCACGCACCAATACCGTTGGACAGTTCTGCGTGTACTGGAGAGAGGACTAAGCCTTTACACGCGTAAGGTGGTGAGAGGCGAGTACAGCCACCTGTCCTAGGAAGGACAGCAGAGGTAGTGCGTGCATAATCTTGAGACTGCATGGCCAGCCTTGAAAGAGGGAGGAAGACGAACGTTAGAGGTATGCAACTTCTCTCCCAAAAGAAAATACTTTCTCTATCTGTCTTCTCCTTCCTCAAGTGGACTGACTTGATCGTCGGAGGATCTATCCGGCACACCACCGCCAGGCAGCTCACCGTTTTTGTGTTACCAGGTAGATGCCGTCAAGAGAAGCTTGGAGTACAAGGAGTACGAAAAGCAGAGGATATTTCGCCCCCGTACAATATCCACCAAATTTTATCCCCCTCTTTTCTTTCAGTAGACCACAACACCCTTTTTTTTACAAACTCTCATCATTTTCCCACCGAAAGTGAGCAAAACCCCAGCTGGAATGTAACCATTCTCCTAATGTGAGAGGGAGATATATTATATAAAAAAAAAAAACCTTCCCACTCACTCTTGTCCCAGCCTTTTCTCTCTATATTCCATTGCCCCCACACATTTTGATCATGATCTCTCTATCTTTCTTTTATTTATTTATTTATTTATTAAAAAATCAAGAAAATCAAAATTAGATATTAAAACTCTCACAAGCCTCTTCACTAAATGGGATGAGAGTATAAGATTTACTTTATATGAGTAAAACAATTCATTTTTTTCCTTATTTTTCGGATGTGAAATTATCAAATAAAAGTTAGACAATGGAGATTTTCTTAATTATTTAAAATTAAGAAAATCAAGAAAATTAGAATGGGGATTTGGAGCTCCTAAAAGGATTCTCACTAAAAAGTTCATTTTCCTTATATAATATATAGATAAATAGATAGATAGATGTTAAATACTAAAAAAAAATAATAATAAAATAAAATAAAATAAAATAAATAATAATAATAATTCAAAATTTCTACAAAATATTCATATGGCATGTGAGTCTCATATAGTATCAGTTAAAATATTTGATAAATTTGTTTAGACTTCTAAGAAGTTTTCTGCGAAGTAATTTTTTAATAATTGTTTGACTTTTTAATTACAGTATGAGGTGAAAAAATTAATTAAAACTTTAGTAATTAATTATTTTAAAATTATCATTTTTATTAATTATTTAATTATAATTATCTCATAATTAATTAATTAAAACTTTTAAAATTTAAACTATATTGAATTGAAACATGTACAACATTACAATATTAAATGAGATAAGAGTATATGATTTATTTTATATGAGTAAAACAACTCATTTTTTCCTTTATTTTCCCAATATGGGATTATCAAATAAAAGTTAACCAATAGAGATTTTTTTTAATTGTTTAAAATTAAGAAAATCAAGAAAATGAATATAATATATTGAAACTCTCACAAGGCTCCTCACTAAATGGGTTAAGGGTATAAGATTACTTTATATGAATAAAATAATTCATTTTTTTCCTTTTTTTCCCAATGTGGGATTATCAAATAAAGCTAGCCATCGGAGATTTTCTTAATTGTTTAAAATTAAGAAAATCAAGAAAATTAGAATGAGAATTTGGAGCTAATATTAAATGGGATGGAAGTATAAGATTCATTTTATATGAATAAAACAACTCTTTTTTATTTTCTTCTTATTTTCTATATGTGTGGGATTATCAAATAAAAGCTAACCAATGAAGATTTTCTTAATTGTTTAAAATTAAAAAAATCAAGAAAATCAAAATTAGATATTAAAACTCTCACAAGCCTCTTCACTAAATGGGATGAGAGTATAAGATTTACTTTATATGAGTAAAACAATTCATTTTTTTCCTTATTTTTCGGATGTGAAATTATCAAATAAAAGTTAGACAATGGAGATTTTCTTAATTATTTAAAATTAAGAAAATCAAGAAAATTAGAATGAGAATTTGGAATTCCTAAAAGACTTCTCACTAAAAAGTCCATTTTCCTTATATAATGATAGATAGATAAAATATAATATATAGATTTAGCCTAATCGGCTAAGTCAAAATTAATTAATTAAAACTTTTAAAATTTAAACTATATTGAATTGAAGCATGCACAACACTACAATATTAATATGAGATATTGAAACTCTCACAAGACTCATCTATAATTAAAACTTGTAATAGCCTACAAACCATCTTCCTTATTTTTCCAATGTAGGATTGTCAAATAAAATTATTTTTAATATGAGATATTGAAATTCTCACATGACTCCTTACTAAATGGGATGTGAGTATAAGATTTATTTTATATGAGTAAAATAACTCATTTTTTTTCTTCTTTTCCGATGTGGGATTATCAAATAAAAGTTAGCCAATGGAGATTTTTTTAATTATTTAAAATTAAGAAACTCATTTTGCTTATATAAATTAGTTTATTAGTTTATTTCAAATTTAATCAATATATTTGGATAAAATCGCTAAAATCGCAGTTAAACCAACGAATCAATCAAATCAAAAATGATTTAGCTTAATCGGCTAGGTCAGAATTAATTAATTAAATTTTTTAAAATTTAAACTATATTAAATTGAAGCATGCATAGCACTACAATATTAAATGGGATGAGAGTATAAAATTTACTTTATATGAGTAAAACAACTCATTTTTTTCTTTCTTTTTCCGATGTAAGATTATTAAATAAAAGTTAACTAATAAAAATTTTATTAATTATTTAAAATTAAAAAAATCAAAAAAATTAAAATGAGGATTTGAACTTACTAAAAAATTCATTTTCCTTATATATATATATATATAGATATCAGATCCTCTATCTTGTTTTTTTCTATTTCAAATCACTTCTTTATTAGAAGGCGGATAGAAGATATCAAATTTTTTGAACCAAATTCATTACCCAATAGTCATATCTAAGTCCTTTTTAATAGTGAAAGATCACAGCAACTTCCAAATAGTTTGCTGCTCAACTTATTCAACTCTATAACTAGAATAGGTTCCACCTCTACATCCCTTTGCCTCTTTACAAAAATTACAAAATTGCATAATCGAAGCCGTTAGGAAAATTCTATTGCAACCATGTTGTCACGACTCAAACTTGACTCTAGAGGTTTAGGTCGTGATCGGCTAGTAATCTTAAATTACCCGGCCTCAAAGACAAAATAGATAAATAATAATAGTAAATAAGGCACTGTGAAAATAATATTAAAACATATCTATGTCCATCAAACGGTGCATACATGCAAATTTCATAAACATTTAAAACTCAAATTTCATATATACAATCTTATACACATAGATACAGCACATCCTATTAAATCCTTATACATAATATCATCTAAGACAGATGTTGGCTTTTTGGCTTTTCGAAGGGTATTTTTGTGAATGTGAGCGTGCCAGCAAGGATCAATCAGTCCTTACAGAAATTGTGATTGCCAACCAATTATCAGACGATTGTGTTTTAGTTCTTTTCAGCCTCAATGAAGAGGACTTTTACTGGTGGCTTAACTTAGGAGAAATTAAGAGAAATAACAGTAATACGAAGAACAATTGAAGTATTTCATAAAAATGAACACTTACAACGGTCCGAACTCAGCCTCGGAGAGGTTTACAACAGCAATCTACTTGAAGCTACTCCTATGAATCGAAGTGCAGTGCGAGTATTTAAAGTGCAGGTATTTAAAGAACAGGTATTTAAAGACTGGAAATGTAAATTACAGTATACTTTTCCTTTCAGTTCACCTGGAGATGGTAATTTTACTCCTTTAGGTAACTTAAGGAAATTAGCCGCGAGCAAATGATCAAAGATGTCATCTGCTTTTGTTAAATCGAAAGAGTATTTTCTGTGAAAGTCTTTCTTTTTAAACTGCTGGTCTATAGTTGTATCCTTATGAATTAATGCTTCACAGATTACAGGTTCTTTGCCTACAATCTCTGCTGCATCTATTTCATAATTAGGATCTCTATAATATGTCTTATATGATGCATTATTTCGATCTTGTTCCTCTTCCAATCCATCATGATTTTCTGATGTAAAGAAGAAGGCACACATTTGTTAGTGTGGATCCAATCCCTTCCAAGCAAAGCATTGTATTTAGCATTACTGTCGATTACGAAGAATGCTGTCATACAATCCCTGGTTCCCACAACAAGATTTTAAATCACAATAAATAGAAGTGTACGAAGGGGCGGGAAGTTGAAATGATAACCGGGAAGCGTGTGTTCAGACATTTGCGTTGGAATGAGGTCAGCCGCCGAATTTCATCTTTGAATTTTCAAGTTCGAAACCAAACACACCAGCTAACTGTTGTTAGTGGGGTGTTTGGGGGTAATTATGGGGGCCGAGTATCAGGGGATGCAAAGAGGCCGAATAAGTGAACTTGGGGAGTCGAGGTATATACATTTTATTAGACGTCGTCTTATACAAACCTAGTATCCTAATCTGCCGTATAACCAGTTGAGCAAGGAGCTGAGTAAATAATTACACGATAGATTAAAGCTGGGCCCAACCTTGAGGTCCAAGAAGATATATAAATAGAAGAACATCAACCAAAGAAAGGTATGTGAGAACGAGTAAGCTTAACTTAAGACATAAGCAAACAAGAGAGTAGATACTGACTTATCCGTCGAAGTGCTAATTCCAGCACCCCCGACCGAAGTGTTCATTCCTTTTAAGGTGGCTAGATGAGGATCACGAGCGTCCCACAGGATCCAAAGAGTATTTCCAAACCACTTCTCCACAATTGGCAATGGCATAGATAGAATGACTAAAATTTATTTGTGAGATGTCAAGCCATGGAATAATTTGTCATTTAAATGAGGCTAGTAATCTTCCTTTTGGTTATTTCAAATCGTAATGCACAATATGCACTTGTTTTCGAATTTCTCTTTTTCATGTGTGTAATGTGAGCTGTCTAATTTTTCACGTAATAATTTACACATGCATCCACATAGTGTGGAATAACATTTCTCTTTTTATATCCTTATGTTTGATTCATAAATTTGAAAATAAATTTAGAAAGAGAAATAAAAAAAATGATAAAATATAAATGAAATATAATTATATTTCACTTGCATTATACACACATTTTCTCTTTTTCTTTTCAAATTTATAAACTAAATACAGCCTAAAAATATGCCAAGTATAAATTGTATTATGAATCTTGCAAGAAACAAATAAATAAAAATTTAAAATACACAATTATTTTCTTGTTAATAGAATGACGTGGAGAATTAAAAAAGGTTGGAACCACATCCATTCAAAGTAGAGGGGCCACGTTAATAAGAATTGTACACAACTTTCAAAGAGTAGCTATAACAGTTGCACTCTCCAAACAGGCGGGGGGGCCATGGCCCCTAATGGTCTCCCCGTAGGTCCGTCCCTGGGGTTGACACAGCTTGGCTCCACTTGAGTCCAAGTTCATCCCATCACGGAGGCACTCCAAAGCAGCTTCATGAAAGGTGGACTCCCGAGGTTGCTCTAAACTTGACGCTTTATATGCTCACC